CCATTTGTGCTGGTTTCACAGGATACTGTGGCAGCAACATCAAGAAAGATGAAAACCCAGAATTTGTATGTATTATTTATGTATAGATAGAGAGATTTCGGGTGTTTAAGTAGGAGAAATGGCTATGTAACTATGTATATATGAAAGTGGAAAGGAAAAGGAAAATGATTACAAAAGTTAGAATCAGTGGCCCATGATCTACTCCAGTAGCTCCACCTAATCTTAGTTTAATCAATGAAATCGCAAGATATAAAATTGATCATGCACTAAATTTCAGGTGTTTGTGGGATTAGAACACTAATTGTGGGTTTACATTTCTCACTTTTTCTTGTCAATAAATAAGTGCGTTTTAGGTCATAAAATATGGATAATTGTGAGTAAATATCTTGAAATAGGGCTTAATTATATATAAATTATGTTTTGCAGGACAACATTGATGAATATAATGGAATTTAAGAGAAACAAGCGAAAAATGACTAAAATAGAAGAAAAATCAAAGCTCAAGTGCCAAAGTGCAAATTGCAAATTGTCAAAAGATGATTTGGAAGAAGAAACTAAGATGTGAAAGAGTTGAAGACTAATTGAGCGAATGAATGAAGTATTGGAAAAAGAAGATGCGAGAAAAAAGATCAACAAACGAAAAAACAGAGTTCGGGGACAAATGTAAAAAATGGACTTTTTCCTATGTTATGCGGTCGCATAGCGCATTTATCCATACAGTCACATAGGTGGCTTCAGGACATTCTAGGGCTGAAGTTGGTTGTCTATAGCATGCGATTGAACTATGTTATAACATAGTACATTTTCGAATGAAAATTTTTAGTTTCCTTGTATGACTCCAACTCTTATGGAAACAATATTTGGGACGTCTTTTAAAGACTTAGGGTCTTCCAAAAACAGATTACCACGCATTACAACATATTAGAGAGCATAGAAGACGACAAAAAAAAAAATAAAATCAAGAGAGATTCCACGACATCAAGATTCATAATTTGGGTAATATTTACTCTATATAATTCTTGTTTTCTTCTCAATATGATGTTAAGTTAGATTTCTTTGTGTTAGGAGAATGATGAACTTTGTAATATGAAATTTTAGTTTTACATATTTGACATTGAAAAGATGTTTTTGAATTTTGAATGATTTATATGATTATCCTTTCTCTACAATTATTGTCCACGGTAATTGTATGAATTTTGTGACTTATTTTATGCATTCAAAAGAAGGAAAATGGACTCGACATAGTGTAAATCGTCATAAGCTCCAATAGGGGATAAAAATATATCGTTATACTCTATGTGAACCTTTAAGTATTCATAAAAATTCATGCATTCTTAGATGTTCGCATTCGTCATAGAAATATAATCATGTCATATATACAAGTATGTTTAACATTACTCGAGAGAGATTATTAAATAAAATAGGAATATTGATTCTTTAAAATTAAACTAATGTTGTCAAAGTGTAGAACTAAAGTTAAAAAAGATTATTACATGGGAATTCGGGATCCTAGTGTGCTTGCCATTTATTAAAACACATTAATTTGCATTTAACATAATTTGCATTTAGTTTAGTTAATTCACTCGTATTTGCATAAGTAGTTTATTTTAGTTATAATTTTGTCACAAACAAACACATCACGTTATTATTGTTTTTGTTAAGGTTTCGATAATTAAAATTGAACTAAATCAATTTCTGTGGGATGATATTTAAATTTAAATTCACTTTATTACTAGTTAACTAACCGTATACATACGGTGTTGTTAATTCAAAATATATTTTCGAGAACATCAATGATCAACTTGCATGAATATTGATCCCAAAGGTAGGGAAATTAATATTTGTGATGATGTTCCAATATGAAGTTTTTAGTGTGTTTCATTAGTACTTTAGCTCTGATTATCATCTCGAGTCCTAAATAAATTAAGGACGTGATAAATTGACAATCAACATAAAATTTCGTCAAATCTTATATGAGCAACGCGATTGTTAAAATGGTTAAGAATTTAATTATTTTAAATCTCTCAATAAATTTACCAAGGTCAAAGAACGATAAAGAAGGATTCATGTAAAAAAACTCTAAAGTTATATAAATTAAAATAATAATAATTTTAATATATTTCTTTCTTGCCACTGGTTGGTAGAAATTAAGATTTATATTTTAATCTAAATTAAAGTCAACAATTAATATTAAGTACATATTTTATGGATCCATTAATTTTTCAAGCACACATTTCATCAACTTTTATGGACGTGTTCGGTAGAAATTAAAATATGATTAAGGGCCTGTTTGGTACGGTTCAAAATCCAATTAAAATTGAAAATATAGCCGTTATTGGGTCCTACTTATCTAATAAAAGTCAACAATAACGATTAGTTTTTCAATTTTAATCTGATTTTAATCTCTATCAAACACCCTCTAAAATTGAAAAATTAGCCGTTATTGTTGACTTTTATTAGACGAGTGGACCCAAAAACGGCTATATTTTCAATTTTCTTTTTGATGCTTGTTTGACACTATATAGCTACATTAGAGGCAATAGGTTATGTGAGAGACGAGTCATCTCAACATATAGCATGATCGATGAATAATTAAATTATGGCCCATTGTCCTTGTTTGGTAAGGATTAAAATCAGATTTTTAGTAAATTTTGATAAAAATTGATGAAATATATGATTGAAAATTGCGGTCCTATATAATATATATAGTTAAAATTAATTGTTGATTTTGATTTAAATTAAAATCTGAATTTTAATCCTTACCAAACACGGACAATTATTCCAACAAAAAATATTTTGTATATTGAATTAGTATAATAATACAAAGATATCTTTATTTATGCATTCTCAGTTAATTTGAAAATTAATAAATAACTTGATAATGTTAAGAACTAATAAAAAAATAAAAATTATTTCTACATTGCTACATATTTTATTTCTAGAAATTTCAAATTGAAATTCAACCTTACTATCACAGCTTTGAAAATTTTAATCTAACAATAGGACAAACAAAAAGGAAAAAGAATTGACTAACTTGTACTTGTGCACATATCTTTTAGTATACGTGTGTGTTGGGAAATTCCATCGGTACAGGAGAGGTTGATAACCTCTTACATGCATGCGAACCCCGCATGATTAAAAAATTCAAAAAAAAAAAAAGTGGACCCCCCATTGTTAGTATTCGATCAACATGTATGTCAACCATTTGATTGTACAAATATTGTAAAAATATTGGGCGTGTTCAATCGAGATTAAAATCAGATTAAAATTGAAAAATTAGTCGTTATTGTTGACTTTTATTAGACGAGTGAGACCTAATAACGATTATATTTTCAATTTTAATTAAATTTTAATTGGAAACAAACAGACTCTTAGATATATATTGTCCTTGAGAGAGATTTTGTAACCCCAGTTATAGTTGACATGCGATGCACGTTACTTTTTAGAATTTATTTCTTTGTATTGATATTTAAATATTTTTAGTATTGGGTGCAAAAGATATTAATTATTATGTATAAAGTCAAAAATGAAGAGTGTGACAAGAAACTAGTGCTTGTCTGATCCACACAATAATTAAGGAACCCAACATAGCCCCATGAAAGAATTGATTGAAACCTTCTCCACTTTTTGACTTGTAATTTCTTATAATTTTTTTAATGCAAGTGGCTAATTGTGCACCCAAAGTTTCAAGAACATTTTCAAGAAACTCTTTATTTTTAAGAGAAATGCTATTCATCCACACTGGGGATGAATAACATTTTTCTATTTTTAAAGAGCATATTCTATCATTTTGAGAGTATATATAAATTTAGAGAGTTAAAATTTTGAAATACTCCAACAAATTATTTATATTTAACACTTAATTTTACTACTCCCAAAAAATATCTATTATTTTTCTTTATATTTTATTTTAATTAGATTTTCTTTAATTATTTTATTGTTTTCCTACGTTGAAAATCGAAACACTTTAAATGCATTTAATTATAGAGAGTAAGTTTGGCTCTCCAAATTAAAATGTTAATTTAAACAGTCTCTTGGAGCATGATTTTAAATATTGACTCTTTAAAATATAGAGTATCATATTTAAAGAGGCTCTCTATTTTTAAAGAGCATATTCTATCATTTAAAGAGTATCTATAAATTTATAGAGTTAAAATTGTGAAATACTCCAACAAGCTCTTTATATTTAACACTTGATTTTACTATTCCCAAAAAATATTTATTATTTTAATTTTTTTCTTTAGATTATTTTATTATTTTCTTACATCGAAAATTGAAACTTTCTCTTGGAACATAATTTTAAATGTTGATTCTTTAAACATGAGATAGTATCTCATGTTTAAAGAGTCTTT